CTGCCACTCTCCCACTTTGGTCAAACCCTCTCCTTTAAGCAACTACTCGACTTCTGCTTCTCACACTTGGCCTTCTAGAAACTTAACCGCGACAAGACACCTCCCACATGTCTTTCCTCATCCTTCGCTGCCCAGTTGTTGCCTCAAGTCGAATCCATCTCTACAGCACTTGAACTAATAGATTGCTACCAACTTTAAACCTCCCCGAAGATCATCTTCCTTGAGCCCTCAACACCCGGGCCACTGATTAAGTCCTGAACCACCGCACACTGCGATCTCTGACAGCCGCTTCCCCGGTACTATTTCACACTACCCTGCACCGAAGGCAAATTGATGAAGACCATAACACCGGCAAACTTAGCACATTTAATCCAGGGCGACGACACCACATCACAGATGAAAATTCCACCATGCTCGAAATACCAAGTCTCGTTACTCCGTCAACCCAAACCTGAACATTCATAGTCTAATTGCCTTTCCTTCGCCGGAAATAAAATACTGGATCTCTGAATCATGCACTGAGTAAACCTCCTTCCAAGTCATTCACTGCTTCGACGCATAGACAAGAATCCTACCATTACACAAACACGGTGCGATAGCAACGCACGAATCGTCATAACAATCAATGCCAAATCTCAAAACCTTAGGTAATACTGATATCGAGCTGAAACAATAGAACGACCTTCCGCAAGGCGACGACAATAGCCCAATCAAATACGCAGGGAGAAACATCATGCACCACATCTGTAGTACTATTAAAATTTCTCGATTCCCAATTTATAACAAGCGCTTCACATCGCATAAGACTGGATAGGAAGGGAATGAAGGCATAAGCCTCAAAGGAATCAAATCGCACGATGAGGAATCAAGAAGGGAAGTGCTCCTAACAGTCATGTAGCCTCTCGAATATAAGTACAGAAGTCTCCATACCGATTCGCAAGACTATACTAGACTTGCTCATAACTCGTGTGACCTAAGTGAACCTAGTGTTCTGATACCATGTTGTCACGACCCAAAATCCATTAAAGGTTGTGATGGAGTCGGACACCGCTGTCAGGCAAGCCAAAAATAAATACTTATTTTGGTTCTCATTTTAATATTTCTGAAATTATATTTCCTTCAATTAAATAGTAAAAGATGGAATTTACAAAATAAATAATAATATTTTTAACAATTTCAATACAGGACAACCCATAACCACTCCAAAACTCGATGTCACAAGTGCATGAACCTCAACTAGGAATGTAAAATAAAATACAACATCTGTCCGGAATACAAATTTGGACAGGAGAAATATAAATACTCTGAAGGAGACTCTGCTGGCTACGGATCATAGTATAGAATGCAGCCCACCTAAGTCCCCGCAATAACCACGCCTCTACGCCCACAAGGCCACTAGACATATATGTACCTGTACAAAAATGTGCAGCAAGTGTAGTATGAGTACGTAAATCAACGCGTACCCAGTAAGTATCCCGCCTAACCTCGAAGAAGTAGTGACGAGGGGTCGACTTCGACACTAACTATGGGTTATAAATAAAATATCAATGATATAATTAAGCATGGATTACGTAAAATGGCTGTAAGCCCAATATCATGAAATAAGTAAACAATTCTTTTGTTAATAAGAAATTTCCAAATTTATTTTCGTCATTTAACATTTTTGGACCTCTGGCCAATGAAAGCAATACCAATTATTATCAATTCCAAAGATATATCATGTGCAAATCATGACGAGGTCGTACGGACCGATCCAACATAAATATTTAAACAGTGCACTGCCGAGGGTCGAACGGCGCGAACCATAGATGCATCTATTTAACCTGCCGAGGCGTTTGGCCCGCTCCACAAAAGAGAAAATACAATTTAAAACAACCAAATGCAAGATTTATTAAGGAAACTATTCAAGAAATACAAATTCTCATTTACGACTAAGAAGAATGGAGTTTAACCTTTTAAAGTCCCTTTACCAAGTTTCGATATGATTTAAGCAATTTAAATTAACAAGTAGGATGCAAGCATCACAATTATAACATGATCTGGGTCCTAGACTACCCGGACATAAGCATATTAGTAGTTACGCACGGACTCTCGTCACCTCATGCGTACGTAGCCCCCATAAATAAAAGCACATATTGAATTATTTCACCTATGGGGTTAATTCCCTCTTACAAGGTTAGAAAGGAGACTTACCTCGCTCCGAAGTTCCATAGCCGGCTCCCAAGCCTTTCCAACAACTCAAACTGATGTCCATCGCTCCAAAACTAGTCAATAAATGAGCAATTCCATAAATATATACTCTAATACTCATTATAATCCTATTTACAATAATTTCCAACTCCGTTCGAAAAATCGATAAAAATCACCCTCGGATCCATGTGCCCAGATTTCAAAAATTTTCAAATACAAACTTTACCCATAACCCCATGAACTCAAATATATAATTTATTTCTAATTTCATGCCCAAATTCGTGGTCAAAATCCGAAAATACCAAATTTCTAGGTTTTTCTTCTAAATCCCAAATTTCTACCAATTTTCATGTTTAAATTCATATATAAACCATGTATTTAACCCAAAATGAGAAGAAGTCACTTACCCCATAATAGAGGATGAAGATGGCACTCCAAACCTGCTCCAAAATCGGCTCCCATGGACAAAAATGAAGTGAAATTGAACCCAACTCTCGTTTTAAAGAAAACACTACCCAACCACGATTTCCACTTCTACGATTCATCAGCCACTCATGCGGCTCTGCACCTGCGGAAATTCCATCGCAGGTGCGATTCAAGCTCTGCCCAATAGTCCCCGCATCTGCGCCCCATGCAACGCATCTGCGCTTCCGCTTCCGCGATCCTCAAGTGCATCTACGCGCGCGCACCTGCACGTTTGTGCCCGCTTCTGTGACCCTAGGCCTTTTGGCCAACTTCGCTTCTGTGCTTGCCTTGCCGCTTCTGCGGCGTCGCACCTGCGGCCCTTTTTCCGCATGTGCAATTACACCAGAACTCAGGCCCTTCAGCAACACAACAAAACTCCAAGTTGATCCGTTGATCCGTTGACCATCATGAATCCACTCGAGGCCCCAACCAAACATGACAACAAGTCTTGAAACATCCTACGAACTTAGTTGAGCCTTTAAATCACATCAAACAACGCTTAAAACACGAATTACCCTCCAATTCAAGCTTAACGAATTTTGAAACTTCAACTTCTACCTTCGATGTTGAAACCTATCAAATCACGTCCGATTGACCTCAAATTTTACACACAAGTCATAATTGATATTACGGACCTACTCCAACTTCCGAAATCGGAATTCGACCTCGATATCAAAAAGTCCACTCTCGGTCAAACTTTCCAGAAACTTTCAAATTTTCATTTTTTGCCAAATGACCTACGGACCTCCAAATCCACATCCGGACACGCTCCCAATACCAGAATCACCATACGAAGCTATTCCCAGACTCAGAATCCCAAACGGACATCGATAGCATTGAAATGCACTCCAACCCAAATTTATGAAATCCTTCCAAAATGCCAACTTCCACAATAGGCGCCGAAATATTCCCGGGTTATCCAAAACCTGATCCGGACATACGCCCAAGTCCAAAATCATCATACGAACGTGTTGGAACCTTCAAATCCCGATTCCGAGGTTGTTTACTCAAAAATCACCCTTTAGTCAATTCCTCCAACTTAAAGCTTCCGAAATTAGAATTTTCTTTCCAAATCAACTCCGAACTTCCCGAAATTAAATTCCGACCACGCGTACAATTCATAATACCTGAAGTGAAGCTGCTCAGGGTCTCAAACCGTTGAACGACGCACTAGAGCTCAAAATGACTGGTCGGGTCGTTACATGAGCTATTATCATTTCTAGGGCAAGTCCCGAGTAAATTGGAAGAAGTGGTTCAGTTGGAAATGGTTGAATCAGCACGATAGTGGCAGTGATCAGTTTCTTCAGCGCAAAGTCATACATGTAGTTTATGGTTGTACATTTGGGATTGAGCGTCACCACAACTTGGTTGATTTGGGAGGTATTTGATTCGAATGGCTTTATTGTGTGAATGGATTCCGGAAGAGTTATGGTGGTTTAGATCACGACTTTAGGTTTGTATTTTTCTGCGGTTTTAGAATTCAGTTGCGTGTTGCGTTAGTTCTTCTGAAATGAGCTGAGTAAAGAGTTTTCTAGCCAAGGAAGTGTTTATTTTACTAGTAGTTCAGAAGTTATGATGAGTTCTGGTAATCTCGTATAGCGGCATGATAGGTGCAAGGAACTGCATGGGAACTGGGAGTTGAAGGTCAAGATTGCGGTTCGGTGTTGATAAAATGTTACGAGCTCAGATGAGCAGGAGTGAATTTAAATGTTCAGAGTAAGCTGGCATTTTCTTTAGTGTCACCTGAGGATGGTGTCCTGTGGAAGAGGCTTTGTGTATTGACTTGCGGATTTTTGATTCACTTTACAGAATTAGAACGGTTGGTGGTATGGATGTGCGTACTTTGCTACCTGAGCGGAATGGTCGTGGGAGCGTGCCTCACGGGGAGATTTGTATAAGTGTGACATGTTAGTCACTTGATTGTTAAAGATTGAAACCAAATATGGAGGTTATGGTAATATCGCAAGTGCGAGAGTTTATGCCTGAGAGGCATTCTATTCCTTGGGTTGTATTGTCTCTAGATGTCAAGGACTTCCACTAGCGATTGTTGTGGTAGCTGGTCTTCTCTCTAAGATCAACAAGACATTAGACAACAGGAAGAATGTCTCAAATGATGCTCATTCAGTTATAACTGGAGAATCAGATCAATTCCTAAGCTTGTTTGCTCTGAGTTATAACTACTTGCCTCATCCCTTGAAGCCTTGCTTTCTTTATATGTGCGCGTTTCCCAAAGGCAGTATGGTTAGTTATGGGTTGCAGAAGGGTTCATAGAAGGGACAACGCCAAAGAACTTAGAACAGATTGCTGAGGAGTATTAAGAAGATCTAGTAAGTCGAAATTTGGTAATGGTGATTAGGAGGAGGTTCAGGGGCAGAGTAAAAACATGTTGTATCCATGATCTCTTGTGGAATTCATTAAGAAGAGAAGCTGAAAAAGAGAAGTTCTTGTACGTTGTGAGAGATCATGTTCAAGTCTTGCCAGAGGAAGCATATTCCAACAGACGCCTCGTTTTGCATTCTGAGATTGTGGCCAGTGCCGAGCACAAGCCTTCTGTTCCTTTTACTTATTCCTTTCTCTGTTGTATTGGAGCTGGACTTCCTCCATCTACTTCACAGCTAAGGTCTATTATTGGTTTTCCGGGCTTCAAACTACTGAGAGTTCTGGACCTAGGTTCGAGTATGTTCTTCAGTTTTCCACTGGAAATAGCACAATTAGTTAATCTGAGGTATCTCACGCTCAACTGTTATGATGAGCTGCCTTCAGCTATTTCTGAATTCTGTCATTTGAAGATACTGATTATCTCTTCTCACCTAGAAGGTCTAGCTCTACCAGCAGATTTATGGAATATGGCACGACTAATGCATGTCCGTTTAACGAGGGGTTTCATAATGCCTGATCCTATGGCTTTATCAGCACTAGTTGATGGAAAAAGCTCCCAAGTCCTATTAAACCTCAAACACTTTCCTATACAAGCTTTGGTAGTTGTTAAAGGGAAGTATTTGCTTGCATTCCCAAGTTAAAAAAACTCTGAATTCATGAAACTGAAAAAGAGTCTATGACTGATGAGCAGATGTCATATTATCTCAACAATCTCAACTGCATAGAGGGGTTGGAGACACTCAAGTGCAGATTTGTCAACCCAATGCGAGTTCCACTTCGGAACTTTTTCCCATCAACCCTCAAGAATTTAACTTTGAGCGGGAGCCATCGTCCCTGGGAAGAAATATCAGTTCTTAGTTCATTACCAGAACTTCAAGTGCTCAAACTGAAGAAATTTGCTTTCCAAGGAGCAAAATGGGGAACAAATGAAATGTTTTTTCCTAAGCTGAAATTCTTGCTTCTTGGTAAAACAGATCTAATGTATTGGGAAGCCAGTGACATAAATTTCCCAAATCTTGAGTGCCTCCTGCTGTATAATTGCAAGAATCTAATTGAGATTTCTGTTGGTATTGGTGATATACCAACTTTGGAGCTGATTGAGTTGTATGGATGTGGATCATCAGCTAATGATTCTGCCAAAAGAATGCAGCAAGAACAACAGCACTATATGGCAAATGATGGACTCAATATGAAGATTCACAACTCTCACATCATAAATGGTACGTTAGCAATAATATCTAGGAACAATTTACCACATGTATATTACCTACATATTTTTTTATTTTTTTCTTCAATTTAGTGTAGCTTGGATGTTCCAGCATCTTTTCTCAATGAATTGAAATAGATACCACTTCTCTTGCAGAGGCTATTGAAACACTAGATTGGCTTGAAGATTGCAATATCATGTAGTTCACCGCGATGACGTGCATGATTCGATTTCCTAATTCTTCGTTTCTTCATGTATTCCTTGTTTGTGTGATTGTCAAAGGTATGCAAAGGAAAGGCTTAATGAAGATGAAGAAGCAGCAAAGAAGGATATAACAATAGGAATGAGGATTGTTAGGAGGTTGCCTTAAATGCCTCTATGCATTGTTATAAGGTAAAAAAAGGTTAAAAGGGAAAGTCAGTCTGGAGAAATAAATATAATCTCTGAGATTGGTTTTGAATGATCTGTTAATTTTGAGAGGAGATAAAAAGAAACTATGACTTTAGTTTGGTATTGTTGAACAAAATGCAGAAATTCTGTTGCAGATTCTCTCTTGTGGTGAAATTAGCTTATTAAACTCCTGGGAATGGTCATAAGCCTATTTGTCAAAGGAAGGTGACATTCAAATTAAGTACTTGGAATGCAGAGGTATCCTAGACTAACAAAAACTGATTCACATGTAGAAATGCAGAAGATACAAATCATCTATTTCTCCTCTATTCAGTTGCATTACATATATGAAATGTTTCTTTGCATTTTTACTTGAAAGGTCATGCCAAAGACTGATAAGGAGCTATTACTGCATGGGGAAGCAGAGGACTTGGTAACAGTTCAGACATGGGAATGGAAAACTTCTTGGCGGGGAGCGATTTACTCCCTTCGTAGGCCTACCAGCACGAGTCCGGATTAATAAGGTTAGTGGGTTTTGAATACCGGATGCTTAAAGCGAAAAAAGGTAACAGTTCAAAGGTGATGTAGACACTATCACAGCTTTTGTCTGGTAGATGATTTGGAATGAGAGAAACCAAAGATGTTTTGAAGTGAACTACAGTATAGCTCAAGGTTTAATTTCAAAGCTGTTCCTTTGTTAGCTTTTTGGTGTAGAAAAGAAATGTTTTATGATGCTGAAACTGATAGATCTTTTCAAGTCCTAGCAAGAGTAGTTAAGGAGTATGAGTTTCTTGTAATGCTATATTGTACATATCCACCAGCACTATCTTAGTGCTGTTTCTAAATAGAATTTATTTACTGATAAAAAAAGAATGATTTTTTCTAACATGCCCCAAAAAATGAAAAGAAGAGGAGAAAAATCTCAGATGTAGCCAAGCAGGTGAAGGAATACTGCTAAAATGGGCACAAAAATTGCCAAGCTCATGCCAGGATTTTCCATGACAAAATCTTTGGTAATCTTGAGAAGTTGTATCCCTGTTTGAATCCTTGCTGCCCATCTCACCATTCTTTCCAATTCATCTGGTGACATAGATGAGATGACCTGTTCTGCTCTCTTTGCATCCTCCCTTGTAAGCTTCAAATTCAAATTTTTCACTCATGTTAGTGACTAGCCATCTATCTATCTTTTGATAGTTTTATAGGTGTCTGAAATGGTTTGAGGGTGGGGCTAATATACACAGAAACTAAAACAGGTTTAGCACAAATATGGTGAAGGAAATAACTACATGGTCATTGCATCTTGATTGTCATTACAAACAACTTAAAAGATGTGCTAATTGCTCATTACTTTTTGAACACTTTAAACTGAACAAACAAACAGAAAGGGAAACTCAACAATCTTCTCATGTTGGAACCTCAAGTGAAATTTACAAAGCTGAGGCCTTTATAGAAGATGCAGGAAGCTTATTGAAAAATACAATGGGAAATCAGAAAATAACAACAGGAATGAAGACAAAGATAAAGTACTTCTCTTCTTTCTTCTTTATATTGTAGTTAGTTAAAATGAGATTATCTAAGCCTGCTGGCCCCAAGTAGCCCAGTTGGCAGAACTTCCAACTCTTGGCATGCTATTCACCTTTGAGTAGACATCAACTTTGAAGTAAGCTCCACACATTGCTCCTTCACTATCCACTCTTGGCATTGGTTTCATCTTGTAACTTGGATGCTCAAAGCTCTTTAATCCACTTTCACTGTGGTACATGCACCCTGCCAAAAAAGTTCATCTCATCAAAAATCAAATTTTGTTTGGACAACTCATGTGCTTTCTCATTTAAAAAGAAAAATTTTCAGTCTTGTGGGAGAGGCGAAGCCAAGATTTCAACTTTGTGGGTTCTTGATTTTAGAACGATGACTTCAAATGCTAAAAACTGGGTTCTAAATTTAATATTTATAGATATTTAATAAATTTTTTAACACAAATACATTGTTTGAACAAAAACTATTGGGTTCAGCCGAACCCGTAGTCGGGCTTCTAGCTTTGCCCCTGCTTGTGTGGCAAGGGCAACACTTGTAAAAGAATAAAGCCATTGTCTTTAAATATGTTCTAAATATGAACTACATACCAGTTGGGAAGGGAGCAAATGATTTGAGACAGCTTGCTTTGATATGATCCACATTGTCAGAGATCATGACAGATCCATCAGATGCTATTCCCCAGAACAACTTCATTGTTTCATCAGCACCCTATACATAGACACCATTTATGATATTGAGTTAAAGGAAAAAAACAAAAAATACATTATGTCTAAATAGAATAGAATAAATGATCTATTGTATTTGCTTCCTTTCCAAGATTGATATCACCACCATCATCCCATCTCTAATCACTTAAGAAGCTAGTGTTTACAAACATTTATAGAAAATCATGGAAGACCAAGATTCATATCCTAGGAGATGCAAAAAACGTTGTAATCTATTACATTATCTAACTAAGCCTGGTGGACAAATAATTAAGGTACACGCAAACTATCCCCAATACCACATTTATAATTAAAAAATGTATGTAGATAGGGGAATAAACTTTTTGAATTAAGAAAGAACTTACAAGGGCAACAAAGACATTAGAAGCTTTGTGATCATAGATCACAAAGCCAAAGCTTCCCTCAAGACCCTTGAGAACCTCATGAGCTGGGAATGGACCTCTGTCCCGAAGTGTTCGATATGCTTCACTCACAAGCATTGCCTCATTGGCTCCCTTTGATAGCCCATACTGCTTGTTTAGTGCCCATAAATTGTTCAAACTTCCCAAGAATATGCAGTATATGTCATTCAACCCACAGAACAACCTGAAAAAACAAAAAAGTTCACACCTTTGTCACATTATTACCAAAAAGAAGCTGTAAAATGACATTTTGCACCTCACTTAATGTTTCTCTTATGACTAGTGAAAAATTGAATCTTTATGATCTTCTTTATAGATACTATAGCCAAATCTCAAGAAGGAATATAATACCTTTGTTGAGGATTTGATGAAGGTGGAGGTTTGGAATAGGCCAAGAATGCCTTATCCATGAATCTAATGGAAAACCCATCGTTGGAATTTGAAGCTAAGAAATTCTTCATTGTCTCTTCAGGTGATGCAGCCTTGTTTGATATTTGCAAAGAGGCTGGACTTTGCAGCTCCTTTGGTGGATCAACCACACTTTTCTTGAAAATTGCCAACATTTTTTGTTTTCTTTTTGCTCAAACAAAATCAAGAATAAAAGCAAATGGTATTGAGAAAGCACACAAAGATGATATACTTTGGTAGAAAAGATGATATGCTTTGTTAGTGATTTGATGAGTATTTATAGGTTAGGGGGTTGGAGGAGACAAAGGTGTCAACATTATCCATTAATAATCTTGAGATGGGGAGAAAGTTATTGTTATTCTTTGATGAAATGGATAAGTGGGACCATTGATTGTCTTTGAGGATTTTAGTGCCTAACAATTCTTGGATTAACAAAATCTGTTCTTTTTATCTTTTAACTTGAGGTGGATAATATAGAAAGTTATGTTAATCTAATCAAATGGACAAATGGGAGACTGGTTATTTTTCTTGGATTAAAATAAATCCTTTATTTTTCTCTCTTAATTTGGGGTTGATAACATAGAAAGTTACGTTGATCTTATGAAATAGACCAGTGAGGTCACTGGTTGTGTTCGAGATTAGCGCCTAAGAATGAATAATTAAAAGAAATTTTTCAGTTTTTTCTTTTGTTAATCTTTTATTTATTTTTCTGGATTTGATTATTGCTTCTCTCTTTTTTTTACGTGTCTTTTTTTAGTCGAGGGTTTATCGTAAATATCTTATCTACTTTCACAAAATAGAAATAAAGTCTCCGTATACATTAATCTCCCCGAACCCTAACTAACCGGATACGTTCATGTTGTTTAATTTGAGGTGAATAATATAGTAGAGAAGGTTGTTAGAGTGTTTCCAGAAAAGAAAAGAAAAATGGATTATTGGTGAAAAAGAGTAAATTTAATATACAAGGAATAGGAGAATTGGTCAAAGCTTATCTATTACCATAACCAAGAATTGAGAGTGACACAGATCCTAGTCAGCGAATCCTCCTTTTTGGTCTAATCGGATAAAACTTTACTATGTTTCCCTTCTGAGTTCTGACATTCCTACACGTTGTTGAATTTAATTTTATTTTGTTTTGCTCATTTTATAGTTTTTAATATTGTTTCAAATGGAAGGAAATAAAGAGATTTATTAAAACGAATTTAATTTGGCATCTATTAATCTATCTATATTTATATACTATATTAAAAACACGAAGGTCCTTAGCGAAATATTGTTTGTATTTTTTAATCATTTAAAAAAAATTATACATTGGATAAAATAGTAATTTAAGTTATTGTCCGAATATTTAGTACTTTAACAATTATTAAAATTTTATTTATTAAATCATCTTTATTTGAAGTATGTATCAAGTCCTAAAATTTAGGATTTAATAAGAATAATGCAGGAAGAGGAAAACATGTTAAAGATTCTCTAATAAAGTAAAACAATCCGACTACATAGCATCATTAAAATTGTCTTGGATGATGAAAATTTTAGTTCCCGACGATAATGGTGTAACTTTGAAGTGAAGTACACATATTTTGATTTTGTAGTTTCTTTTTATAACATTTAATAGTAGTATAAATAATAATAGATAATACACTTCCATATAATATTTGAATTCCCTTCATATTCAAATAATATTTTTTCTTCATTATTTTTGGTATAATATTTAAAATTACACTCATTATTAGAATAAATAATTAAGTATTTTCTTCATTGATTTTATGGATAATATTTTGAAAATTACACTCAATAATTAGAAAAAATAACTAAAAAAATATTGTTATAAAATAAAGACTATAAAGTAAAGACAAGTATAGAGAAAAACTGATATATTATTCAAACTTCAAACTTATGTACATAATGAACTAAAATCTCCTCTATTTATCAAAGAAAGGAAGCTGCTTGTAAGTTGCTACTGTATCATATATAGATAATCTTCTACCGGGGTAATATTTATCTATAACGGAGTGCCGAAAGGATAAGCTCGTTGTACCATATATAGATAATCTTCTACCGGAGGTGATGTTTATCCATAACGGAGTACCAGATATAGATAATCTTCTACCGGGGATGATGTTTATCCATAATAGAGTACCGAAAGGATAAGCTCATTGTACCAGATATAGATAATCTTCTACCGGGGGTGATGTTTATCCATAACAGAGTACCGAAAGGATAAGCTTCTTCAGGAGGCTTATTTCCAATAGAGTACTAAATAGATAAACATATTTACGGCGGAGTCTCATATAGATAAGTTTCTTCAGGAAGCTTATTTACAACGGAGTACTAAATGAACACACATAATATAATATATTTATAACACTCCCCCTTGGATGTTCATTTAAAAGATAATGTGCCTCATTAAAACCTTACTAGAAAAAAAACCGTGGAAAAAAATCCTAGTGAAGGAAAAATAGTACACATATTTAGTAATACGCATAACTAGTTGTCTCATTAAAAACCTTATAAGGAAAACCTTGTGGGAAAAACCTTAGTAAGGAAAAAAGAGTATAGCGCGTATTTTACTCCCCCTGATAAAAATCTTGTTTCAAATATTTGAGTCTCCGCATTCCAATCTTGTATACCATCTTCTCAAAAGTTGAAGTTGGCAAAGATTTAGTGAATAAATATGTCGGATTGTTACTTGAACGGATTTGTTGCACATCAATGTCACCATTTTTCTGAAGATCATGTGTGTAGAATAATTTTGGTGAAATGTGTTTCGTTCTATCTCCTTTTATAAATTCCTCTATTTTAAAAGACGTTTCTGGGGCGAGTCCCAGGGCGAGGCATACCAAAAATGCCCCGGGGCGATGGTGTGGGGCGAAAGTCTCAAGAGGCGTACGCCCCGCAATTTGGGGCATACGCCAGGGCGTTCGGAGCGCATTTCTTTAGTAAGGAGTAAGCCCCAAAGACTTTTTCAAATTAAAATAAAATTTATTGAATTAGTCCTTCATATAATACCCAAATTCTCAAAAGTGAGTTTGGTAATTACTCAAAAGGGTTAAAAAGAAACTCAAAAGTATTAAATTTAAAAGTAAAGACCTTTTTTATTGATTTAAGCCCTAATTCATGGTTTTTCTAAATTTTTATCTTATCCGCTAGTCTGCTAATATCTCCCAAAAGCAACGAATATTTAATTTTTTTTACAAATACAAAGAGAACTATATTTTTCTTCATAACAACAAATTCAAAGTTTAAATTGCAGGTTAATCATCATTTTTGTTCCTCCATATAGAAAACTTTATTCTTTTAGACTCAAATTACTTGTGCTTGTAAGTAACGTATAATAGATTATTTTGATTAGTTTTTTGTGGGGATGGAGCACACATATATATAGTTTTCTTCAATTTTTATGCAATTTTACCTGTTTATAAACATTAATTGACATTATATTATTTTATAAAATATTAAAAATTAATACCTATGGGGCTTACGCCCCGCCGAGGCATATGTAAAATACCCCGCCTTACGCCCACGCCTTTTAAAATACTGATAAATTCTCATTTTAATTGGGTTATGCATGCAGCATTGTCTTCGTATAAAATTTTGGATCTTTTATCACATTCCAAACTACATTTTCCTTGAATAAAATGAATCATTGATCTCAACCATACGCATTCCCTACTTACTTCATGAATAGCTATTATCTCAGCATGATTTGAAGAAGTAGCAACAATAGATTATTTTGTGGAGCGTCATGATATGACAGTACCTCCACATATAAACACGTACCCGGTTTGAGATCGAGCTTTATGTGGATCAGATAAATAACTTGCATCTGAATAACCAACAAGATCTGCACTACCTTTGTTAGAATAAAATAAACCAATGTCAAGTGTTCCCTTTAAATATCGCAATATATGCTTAATCATGTTCCAATGTCTCCGTGTAGGAGAAGAGCTATATCTTACTAGTAAATTATCAGAAAATGCTATGTTAGGCCTTGTAGCATTAGCAAGATACATAAGTGCACCAATTGCACTAAGATAAGGTATTTCGGGACCAAGGAGTTCCTCATCCTCTTCTGGAGGTCGGAACAAATCTTTATTCACTTCAAGTGATCGAACAACCATTGGTGAACTCAATGGGTGCGCTTTGTCCATGTAAAAGTATTTTAAGACCCTTTCTGTATAGGTAGATTGATGGATAAAGATCCCGTCTACTAAATGTTCAATTTGCAGACCAAGAAAAAAAATTGTCTTTGNCTAAATGTTCAATTTGCAGACCAAGACAAAGTTTTGTCTTTCCAAGATCTTTCATCTCAAATTCTTTCTTAAGATATTCAATTGCCTTTTGGAGCTCTTCTGGAGTTCCAACAAAATTTATGTCATCAACATAAACAACAAGTATAACAAATTCTGATGTCATTTTCTTTATAAAAATACATGGACAAATAACATCATTTATGTAACCCTCTTTCAGCAAATATTCACTGAGGCGATTATACCACATACGCCCATATTGCTTTAAACCATACAAAGATCTTTATAATCTGATTGAATACATTTTCCGAGATTTTGAATTTGCTTCAGGCATTTTAAATCCTTCGGGAATTTTCATATAAATTTCATTATCAAGTGAACCGTACATATAAGTTGTAACTACATCTATTAGATGTATTTCAAGCTTTTCATGTAGTGCTAAACTGATGAGATATCGAAATGTTATGGCATCCATAACAGGTGAATATGTTTCATCAAAATCAACTCCAGGTCGTTGTGAGAATCCTTGTGCGACAAGGCAAGTCTTGTATCGTTCAACTTCATTTTTATCATTTTGTTTTCGCACAAATACCCATTTATGACCAACTGGTTTTATACCAGCAGGTGTTTGGACTACTAATCCAAAGACCTCTCTTTTAGCAAGTGCGTTCAATTCCGATTGAATTACCTCTTGTCATTTTGGCCAATCAGATCTTTGTCGATATTTTTCGACAGATCGGGGTTTAAGATCCTCACTATCTTGCATAATGTTAAGTGCAACATTATATGTAAAAATATTATCCACCACTAGTTCAGATCGATTTAAATTAATCCCTTCACAAGTAGAACTTATTAAAAGCTTCTCACTCACTTGAGTCTCGGGTTCATTGATTTCTTCAGGAATCTCAGAACTAATCCGATCTTGGGTCTCTTCGGGGAATCCCATCATAGTATCATTTTGATCATTTATCAATTTTCTTTTTCGAGGATTTCGATCCTTAGAACC